AATAACACACAGCATGTAGAATCATGAGGCTGGAAAGCCTGAGAAGAAAAGTCTTCACAACTTTTGAATACTAAATACACCATGAAGTTCACCCAAGAATCATGGAACCCTTATTCTAGTGTTTTCTGCAATAAATTAAACCACTTTGTCTTTGGACAATTCATGCAATGTCTCTGAGTTTCCTCATCTATAAAATGAGTATATGGGCTTAATCGAGAACCGAAAAGCAGGAATATCTTGATGACAAACATGGACCTAGGATTCAGATTTTGTCTCTGCTGCTTATTGCTTGTATGAATTTGGATGAATTCTATGCCTTCAGTTTCTTATCCTCCTGGGTTTGTTGAGAAAATTATTTAAGTTAATATATATAGAACACTTAGCACAGTGCCTGATTAACCAGGTTTAGCTGTTGTTTTGCTGCTGTTAATTTTAAGTGCAAATAACAAAATATAGTCTTGGCTAAGTAAGGAGAAACAGTTTATTAAAAGGATATTGGATTATAGCAATTTTGAACTTAGAGAACAAGATTCATGAGTGAGCTTTTAGGAATGAAACCTCCAAACACATCACAGATTGTTATAAGAAAATGTATCCACCATTGCAGAATGCTCAACACTAAAGTTTCTACCACTGTGATTTCAGAACCAGAATTTAATTTAATTTTACTGTAAATCCAGGGTCATCCCAGTTTTTTCAAGAGAAGTTGGAAAAGCAAGTATCTGTCAGGAGAAAGAGATTTTGCACAGATTCCCCAAATATATATATATATATATATATATATATATATAAATTCACATGATTCGTGGCCAAATGAACTCAGCATTTTCAATTTTCATGCTAAGGCTTATTGCCCAGAATGATCTATTGAAGAAGGCTGTCTGCTTTTATTGAAGGTCAAGAAGATGGTAGCCATAATATCTTTAAGACTCCATGACTCTGTTAAGAAGGATTTGAAATATCTGTGACAGGAAGGATTTCCAAATACTCCTGACATGCAAACTGAGTTACTGGGTAGTCTCGACACTCAATATTTAAAATAAAGCCACTGGGTTTATAGTTAGAATTGGGTCCTCAATTTTTAATTTACACAGTTGAATTATGTATATGTGATTAATGAGAAAAACAAATTTCTAAGTCTTTGATTGGAAAAGTAAAAGTTCCCAGAGTTTAATAAACATCTTTTCATTTAAAAAAATTCTATATTTTCCTTTGAACTATTAATACATTCAGGCTGCTTGGGAGATCACATCCCATAAGAATGATATCAGCCGGGAGGGAAAAGAGCAGTTATAATTGGGCTTTATCTATTTTAAACTCTTCAACTATAAAAATAGGGCCTGCAATACCAGCAAACCAGAACCCGAACTGTCCTTTCTGAGTAACGGACAGCTATTCTAACCCCATGACTAAATCCCAAGGCCTGTCTTAAATAGTTCTGGACTTCTAACTACTGGTGCATTCCAACCCACTGGTTGGCTCAGCAAGCACATCTCCTGCACTTCATGAACTTAGAGCATCTCTGGGACAGTCAGACTGTTTGCAATACCAAAGACTATTCTTGGAGAATTTTTTTCAAGTGTGTGTAGAAACCACAGAAACACAATTAATAAACTTTCTTAACCATCTTAGCTCATAAACAAATGAATCCTCTTACATCCATAATATGTACAAAATAGGGCTGGGGATATAGTTCAGTTGGTATAGTGCTTGCCTTGCATGCACTAAGCCCTGGGTTCAATCTCAAGCCCCCCCACCAAAAAAAATATATATATACACATACATAGAAAATACTATATATATATATATATATATATAYACACACACACACACACACACACACACACACACACACACACAMACACACACACACACACACACATACAGATACAGAGAGAGAAAATAGCTTGGTGACAATTTTAGCAATTATAACAAGAAAGTTGAAGGCAAAATTAGAAATATCTATCTGTTGGTTGCCTGTTTTCAAACTATCAGATAAAGCATGTCAAATCAGAAATTCTGAAAGAGCCACTCTACTCTCATGGGACGAGGGGTTGATTTCTTCAACCTAACAGGTAGAAATACTGCCAAATTTATATTAAATTTATTACAATGATCTCTTGAATGTTATAGACATCTAAGATATACAGAAATGAACTCAAAAGGCATTATCATTAGTCAAGTGGAAAGACATGGCCCAAGCAGAACTGTGATTGGCAATAAACAGGCCTCTCTGAAAGATGTTCTCCCCAAAATTTGGTGTTTTAAGATGATTGAAAATTGGAAAAGATTTTAAATGCAGCAGAGAGTTTGCTATTTAATAACATGATAAACTTTTTCATAAATAAGGATTATTTTAATGTATGTATGTGTGGTAAGGCTCAGGCTTCCCTATGTCAAGGCAGCAACATTAAGTTAATAAACCCAGGCCTACTTCCTAGGTCCAAATCCTGGCTTTTCCACCCCATAACCATGTTAGCTCAGCAAGTTGCTCTATGGAATTCATGCTTTCTGTAAATTAGGGTGAAAAAAACATCACTAACCCATGACATTGTTCTGAGAATTAGATCACCATCTAGCATATAGTATGTATTATGTAGGTATTTGTTAGAGAATAAGAAAATCAATGACTAAAACCTTCAATATCTCTACCAATGTCATATTTCTATTGAGAGCACTAAATGCTTAAGTTTTTTTTTCCTAAAAGCATGAAATACTTAAATTCTTAGATTTGTCAGTGACACCACAGTTTCACTTTCTTACAAGGAGTACTGGGTATTCCTGTAAGAATATAGGGTCAGGAAAAAATTACAAGAATTCTATAGTCAAATTTTTAAGTATTCAGTAAAATGAAAAGTATCCAATTGCCTGAAACAAGAAATATCAAGGCAAGATGGAACATTCATCTATCAACCTTTCATATTATTTGAAGCAAGATGGTTATATTATCAAGAATCTAAAAGGGTCTTGACCACAGACATCATGTAAATTCTGTGATGCAAACAGCCTTTGTGCAAACTTTACAAAATAATTAAGAAAGCCAGGTGTGGTGGCTCAGCCTGTAATCCCAGTGTCTAGAGAGGTGGAGGCAGGAGGATTGCCAATTCAAAGTCAGCCTGAGCAACTTAGTGAAGCCCTAAGCAATTTAGAGACCCTGTCTCAAAATTAAAAAAAAAATTTTTTTTTAAAGGGTTGGGATGTGGCTCAGTGTTTAAGTGTCCCTGGGTTCAATTGCTAGTACTTATTAATAATTAAGAAAGAGTCAAGTTGGTGTAAATGTTTAACAGAGATACTAAAATCTGTTTTACACTAATTTTTTAATTCAATAGATATTTATTCAGTGAATAAGATCATATTTCAGGGGTCTTGTCACAATTAATAGTTTATCTAATAGGTACTTACAGTAGATTGCTATGTTTAATCCCTACAGCAACCCTCTGAAAATCCCTTTTCCAAATTTCTTAAGGTTTGATATATTTGGAATTTCAGAATTTTTTTTTTGTTTTTAGAAAGGCAATATGTTGCAATCTCAGAGTGACTTGGGGACACAACAGCTATCACAAAAAACAATGTCTTTAAAAAACTAACATAATTTAAAATTATAGATAGAAAAATATTTGGAAAAGCAGACTGAAGTTTTTAATAGTAACTACTTCTCATGAGGAATAAAATGATACATTGGGGCTTTTCTCTTTTTCTTTTATACATTACTATTTTTTCTCTAACAACATGTATCATCTTATAGCATAAAACATCCTAAAATATTAATTGTGAAGTTAGTAGAATGCTGACATTTGGCCCCTTATATTTTCCTTTTTCCAAAAATCACAATAAAATGTAATGATCTGAGCTCTAACTGTGCCAAAGTGCAAAGTAATTTGTTTATCTTTCCCCAGCAAATGAACTATTACAGATCAATAGCAGTGGATTAGGACCATACTTTCCTTTGGTCTTTAACCTCTAGAAAAACAAAGATAGCACTGCAGAAAAACACCATCATTACTCCTCCCCAAAATAATTTTTAAAAGAAGAAGTAGTAGTTGTTAATTCAGTTTGAGCTGAGAATATCATTATTCACCACATAAAGAGCCAACATTAGTAAAAACTTCTTAGGATCTTATCAGCTTTGAAAGCAGATTCAAATCCCTCACTAGCTACCCTCCAAATTASTCAATGCACCTCTCCAAATGTAACTCTTAAGTTAGGAAGCAACCCAAATCCAAGAAGGCAAAAAAGAATTAATAACTGTTAAGCACATATCACAGTCATATCATGCATATTGATGAATTGTCTCCTCCAACCAAAAGCTGATATTACCTCCATCTTACCTATAAGAAAACTGAGGTCTAGAGGAGTTAARTCATTTGTGAAGGTACCACACCCAGTGAGCAGTGGAGCCAAGAAGTAATTCCAGRACCTTTGCTACCACCCTACATAGCCATTAATGTTAAATCAGAGTCCTGAATATGGTCAGCTCATTTGGTAATCAGATTTTTGGTGAGTACATAACAATAGAAAAAATAATAATTCCTTAATTTGTTAAGATATCAATGCTAGATATTCTTGCCATAATAATTTTTTAAAATATATTTTTCCAGCACTTTACAACTTTTAACAATGCTTATCTCAAGCAAATCTCTGAAGCACAAACCATGGTATTATAATTCACATAAAAGAGACTTCAGGGGCTGGGGTTGTGGCTCAGCAGTAGAGTGCTCGCCTTGCACGCACCGGACCCTGGGTTCAATTCTCAGCACCACATAAAAATAAATAMATGAAATAGAAGTATTGTGTCCAACTGCAACTAAAAAAAATTAAATATTTTTTTAAAAAAAGAGAGAAACTTTACCTTTTGCCCTCCAACTAGTCAAATATTATTACCTGAGAATGATAAATATGTTCCTTATTGTGAATGATTTTTTAAAATGAAATTAAGGAAATGAAACTAAAGATTTTATTGTTTTCTTCTCTCCTTCATATACATCCCCCTGAATTTGCAGGAAAATGGACAAAGAAAATATGGTGGCCCTCCACCTGGTTGGGATGCTGCACCCCCAGAAAGAGGCTGTGAAATCTTTATTGGAAAACTTCCCAGAGACCTTTTTGAGGATGAACTTATCCCATTATGTGAAAAAGTGAGTCCAAATTTAATATTTAACTCTTCTTATCTTTCAAAGGGAAAATACTACTTACTTTGCATTGCTTTTGCTCATGTCCTTCCTGGTCAGTGAAGGCTTCTTTTATGTTTTTTGTACTGGAATTGAACTCAGGGGTACCCACCACTGAGCCACATCCCCAGCCTTATTTTGCATTTTATTTAGAGACAGGGTATCACTGAGCTGCATAGCACCTAAGTTTTGCTGAGGCTGGCTTTGAACTCATGATCCTCCTGTCTCAGCCTCCCAAGCTGCTGGGATTACAAGTGTGCACTACCACACCCTGCTTGGTTTCTCCTCTAATTGCCATTCTTTGACAAAGTTAAAGCCTTTCTAGCCATTAGTGACTATCCCTCCTTGACTCAGCTCTTTGTCCTGTTACTTATAGAAACTATCATTGCTGATGGCTCTCAGATTTATATCTTGTCCCCAATCCATCCACTGATATGACTATCTGACATCAATGTGTCTATCAAACCAGAAAACTACTACAACAGTCTATCTAAAATAAGTTATTGCTCCAACTTGACATTTTAATATATTTTATAAGTGTAGCATTTTCACATAACAACATTGTATATGTTTTTCATAGCTCAAACATACACCTGTACATACTAACTCAGAATAAAAGTTTCTTCTTTCTAAAAGTCTGAATTTCTTATTAATGAAATGAATATCAATAAGATAAAAACAGGGTTTCTCCATGTCATTATGTAACTACTAAGACATAAATTTTTCTCAGTTTTGATTCCAAATTATATTTTGTTGGTAAACTCAAGATTAAAGGGAAAATACAAAATTAAAATTTATTTTAATAATTTACCAATCAGCTTTTAGCAGCAACTATATTTCAGGAAAATTTAGTAAATATGAGAATTTAATTTTTCCTATGAATGCCAAAATCAATTGTGTGTGTGTGTGTACAACATACATGTATGTGTAATTCAACCTCAGATTCAAAATCACACTTAATTTTATGTATACAATCCCAGTTGGCATATAGACAAATTATGAGCACCTAACCCTGTAAGAATTTTATATTCTTAAACTGAAAATGAGCATCTCAAAGGATCTGAAACACAGATGAAACATGCTCATGTTTTTCTCTAGAAAGAACAGAAGGAAAAAAATATATGTTCATCACTGAGTACTTTAGTGGGGCAGCGTGAGACTAAGCAGAGGAGCCACCAACCACTAATGTGATGGTCTGTGCTCTTCATAACACTTCTCTGCACACATGCCCACATCTATTTGGATCACCCTTGTTACAGCAGCCCACGAGAATGAACTTCTGAGTCTGGGTGGCTAGAGAACACTTGGGGTGCAGGAAGGAGTAGAACATGGGCAAGCAGAAGAGCTGTAGCCAGGGRCAGAGTGAATACTCTTCTGGTATGGAGGTACTAGTCTGATGTCAGCTGTATTGAGATTAGCATTTGCTTTCAGCCCACACACTGAGAAAATCACAGCACTGCCCAGACCATCCTCTGAAACTCACCTGTGTTTATACTGATGTCATGGCAGGAGGAAATACTGTAGCCACATAGTTTAGCAAGATCCCAAATGAGTGTTCYTAGTCTTTGTTTTAAATATCAATGATAGAGTATGACCAAATAAAGGYCAAACTATGAAGACCTCAGAAGCTAAATTAGAAGCCATGGACAAATCTTTTAAGAAATTGTACTTCTGATGACAAATGAGGTTTTAGATTCCTAAAACATTGCATAAATCTCCAGATAATAGTGTGATGAAAGGTCATTTGCTCTSTCAAAACATATTTGGTTAACTCAGGCTGAAATGTCACTTGTATATATTTTCTTTATTTAACTTGACTTTTCCCATGAGTCACATATTTAATCTCAACAAAGCATAAAAATATGTAAACCATTCCACATGMGATGCAAATACCAAACACTGGCAGGAGGCAGAATTCAGAAAATATTAAGTGGGTGTGTATGCGCGCGTGCACACATGTGCACATGTTTATTTAGAAGTACAAGTATATAAATGTGAATTTTCTGTTTCTATTACTTATAGATTGGTAAAATTTATGAAATGAGAATGATGATGGATTTTAATGGCAACAATAGAGGATATGCATTTGTAACATTCTCAAATAAATTGGAAGCCAAGAATGCAATCAAGCAACTTAATAATTATGAAATTAGGTAAGACTGACATCTTCTAAATTAAAATTGCATCAGACAATGCACTTGTAACTATTTTTCTATCAACTTTGTCCAATAGGGCATATGCACAATATAGTCAAGCCAGAAATTAAATGTTAGATCTGTTMTTTGGTGAAAATAAATCTGGTTAAATATTTATTTAACATTAATGCTTCATGATAGGCCCAACCAAGTTCTGTGATATGTTCAAAGAAATGAAATTTACTAATTTATCAATTTCATAAGTATGTACTGGGCACTGTTCCAAATACTGGAAATACTTAAAGGTACAATTCTTTGTCTTTATAGTAAATAAATATATAAGATTATGTAAAATAGTATGAAAAAAATCAACCAGGGATGTGATATGGTTATGTATGTAGTTGGTTAATTTCATTTGGTGCATTTAAGAAAATATTCTCTAGGAAAGCAAATTTTGATCTGAGATTTTAATGAAAAGCTGCAGCYCTGAGAGGCCCAGAAGCAGATTATTACAGAAAAGAACAGCAAGTGCAATCTTCCCAAAATGAGAAACTTGATATGTTTGAAGGACAGGAAGAAAGTCCATGTCTCCAGAAAAGAGAGAAAGGATGTTGTGAGCAACACAGTTGGAGAACCTTGTTCTCTGTGATGAAGATTTGAATAATATCTAAATAGGAAGGGGAAGTCATAGGAGGATTTTAATGAGATGTATGGTTTTAAAATATTACTCGGGCTGTTGGTTGAAGAACAGGTTACAGCAAAGTGAAAACTAAAAGAGAGAAGCGATGCAGAAGGCTCCTACGTAGCCTAGATCTAGACAAGAGATGACCATGAGTGGACAAGGGGTCATTGGTGGAAGTGACCAAAGAGGGTCACATCTGGAATACACTGTGGAGGCTGAGGAGACAGGCCTGCTAGATATTTGATTTAAAGGGAGAGAGCATTCAGAACTCAGTGGAGTCAGGAGAGAGGTAATAGTTGGGAATCAGCCAAATATAGATAGGAACTACAGGAGAGTTCCAGGATATAATTGATCCTGTGCAACCAATCACCTGTTTTTTTTATAAAATGGAAGCAGCTAACTTTATATAATTGAATGAGTTCTAAAAACTTTACTTGAAGGAAAAACGGTCATAAATTCCTTCTTAAAAAAGGCCTCCACCCTGGGAGGCAGATTAGTATAGCAGGGAAACAGCAACAGCTTTGGGGTCGTGCAGGCTTCACTGGACAGTGCCAACAAGTAACTATCTCTCTGTGCCTCAACTTCCTCACCTATAAAATGGGGATAATATGTGATTCATAGGTTTTATTGTGAGTGTATTATACATGTTTTGCAATGTCTAATCCAGTATTTGGGATTCAGTAATAAGTCAACAAATGATAAAAAATATTAGCACAGGTCATCAACTGTTAAGTGCAATTTTTCATATCTATTTCCTTTTTGAAATTCAGATGCACATTAAGATTGATAGACTATTAACTCTGATGAAGGCAGAAAGATTTCCCACGTGTATTTTTCTCCCACTTTCAACAAACCAAAATAAGTCATGCATTATCTTTATAATTCTCTAASTCAATCAACTACTCAGTCATTTTTCTTAAACTCTTTAGCCACAGGAAAAGCAGAGGGATTTGACAACTACTATTGTCCTAGCTATTTCAATCTCCAGGTTGGATCTTGGAGCAGAGTTGTTTTCTCTGTTGGAGAAAACAGAAAGGGGGCTTCCTTTCCACACGTGCCTTCTTGAACTCAGAAGAGCTTAGTGCAATGTGTAAGGGATTGTTTGAAATAAGAATCAGGAGACCTTAGGTCTAGCTAAGGTTCCTTTGGACAAGTCCTTTGATTTCTTTGAATATCACTTCTATCATTAACATCTGATCTTGCAACACAGAGAATAGCATACACTAAAGTGCTTTGGAAAGGGCTACACAAAACTATATTAAGATATACCCTAATACTATATAGTGATGCATATGTATACATACAGTATAATACTACATAGCAATTGCAAATTTTGACAGTTAGACCCAGAAGAAGATTATTGCAGAAAAGAAAAGCAAGTACTATGCTATGTAGTTTTACTATTAGAGTTTATGTATAGTTTATTTATAGTATTATAATACTACATAGTATTATAATACCACATAGCCATTGCTATGTAGTATTATATTTTTGTGTAGCCCTTTCCAAAGCACTTTAGTGTATGCTATTCTCTGTGTTGTAAGATCAGGTGTTAATGATAGAAGTGATGTTCAAAGAAATCAAAGGACTTGTCCAAAGGAACTTTAGCTAGAGTAAGTACATATAGCATACATATGTATTGCCATATAGTATTATAGTCTACGTATGTATAATATACATACRCATTGCTAAATAGTATTATATAGTATATATAGTATTATAAGCATATGTATACTACATATATATATATATATATATAGTAATATGGTATTATAGTATATTTTTATTTTTTTTTATTTTTTTTTTTTATATTTTTTATGGCAAGTCAACTTTTGTTTTCCAAAATCAGATAATATTAGTATTTCTTATAGTATATTTTTATATAGTATATAACTTAATACTAGAGTTATGTGATGTCAGAGATTAAAGATTCCCCACATCCTTGTTTTTTCATGAAACCTGGACTTACTAATAGTAAGACTTATTCCCAAAAGGGCTTTTGAGTTGAGATACAAGTGGATTTGGCCAGGTAGGGAATCAATAGAATTTGTTGTATCTACTTAAAACACTGTTACTCACGGGGGCATGTCAATACTTTTGAAAATAGGATACAAAAATGAATATGATCACTCAACCATGGTCACCATTAATTAGCAGTATCCTCTGAATTTCAGTGTCTTGCCTGTGAAACAGAGATAAAAATATACCTACCTCATGGAGTATTATGAAAAATAGATGAGATAATACACATAAATCTCAGCACCTGACACACTCTGGCTGTTCTATAAAAGTCTGCTGATAATTATGATGGTGATGAGAGAGGAAGAGGGAGAAAACGGAGAAATGTGACAAAGAATTTAGAAAGACAATTAGTTTGCAGTCAAAATTTCAGGTGGATGCCAGAAGCAAGGCAAAGGCACAGAAATACTTTACAAATTTGGGAGTGAGATCAATAGAATATGAAACAGCTGAAGAGATCACAGAGCCACCCTCACGACTCCCACTCTGCCTTGGATCTGTCCTGCCAGAGAGAGGACCTTGTATAGCTCTTCTCCACATTGTCATACCATCTTCCTCCTCATCAAATATTCACTGAACAGCGTCCAGATGCCAGGCTTTTGGAGACATTAAAGTCGTGCCCTCAGCTTTTGAAAGACGACTCTGTCTCCAAGCAATTCTGGGAAGGTTCCTAATAAACCACACATATTTAAAATTAAGAAACAGAAACTCTAGGCTCCCCCTGCTGGTAACTGGTAGCCAGATTAGCCCTCCAAGTATTAAAAACATTTTTATTTCTGATTAAATGTCTTAGAAGAGAAGGGGGTTTTATCTTTTTTTAAAGTTCATTTTTTAAAAAATTAACAATTGGAAGATTACTTTATCAACCTTCCCTCCACCAAGACACCATATTCCTTGGACAAAGCTCAAYTTTCTGAGATGAATTTGTCATGGATCTGATATGTGGTCCCTGGTTTTTCAGCAAAGCATGGGAAGCAACTAGGACTGTGGCCCAAACCTGGTCAGAATCCCTGCCACACACCTTAGAGCCACTAGTTCACAGAAAATTAGACCGATCTCCCACTTACTAGGTTGAGAGCTTTTATTCATGGCTAATGAATAGTTTCTGTTAAGGATACTGTATCCATTTTTAATAACTTAAAAATTATATGGCCCAATACACAACACATGGAAACATTAAAAAGTACAAAGTTAAAATAATTCTTCCATAACAGAAGTGCTAAAATATAACCCCTATGTTGACATAATATTGCCTTTCCATATTTTCTATATATTTTTTACATTTTTAATCAAAATGGCATTTTGATGTATTTATCTTACAGACTTTTTTTAACTGAGAAGAATATAGTAAACTGACTATTTTAAATCAATAAGTGTTCTTCTATGTTACTACTTTCAATGATTGCAGAGCATTTTTGGTATGAATGTCCATCTCTTTTGTACCAGTGATTCCCAGCCAGGAGCAGTACTGTCACCCTAATGACATTTACAAAGGGGGAAGGCATTTTTGTATGACCTGATGGATGACTACTGGAATTTTGTGGACAAGAACCAGGAATAAGAAACATACCATAATATACAAAGAGAAAATATCTAGTCACAAAGTCAATGATATCTCAATCAAAATACATTAAATCAGTTTCTTACTATAAAGTATTGCTTACTTCCAATATGGCGGTTACTCTAAATGACAATGATACCTATGCATAAAAGTTTAGTGTTCCTCTCTATTTACTAAGAGCATACTCCCAGAAGGGGCATTATTTGGTCTAATAATATACATACTTAAGACTTTCGAACCATTTTCCCAAATGTGCTCTGGAATAGTTGAACCCATCTCTCCTCTGACCATAAAGGTAATCTTCACCTTTCTAAGAAACAACTTTTCACAGCAAAAGAAACAGGAACTGAGGGCCCAGAGGCCAGTTTCATTCTTTCAAATCTATAATAGCTTCATCAAATCACTTAATTTCTTGGAGTCTCAAGTTCTTCATCTGTAAAATGGAAATAACACCTACTCTGCCCATTTCATAGGCTCCTTTGTATGAGCCAAATAAGCTAATATGCAAAAGATGTTACAGCCAAGGGACCATTTTTAATAGCTATTGTGTTGGAATAGTTTCTCCCTTTGACTGGAAAAGAAATGGAACATGAAGAGTTACACCCCAAACACCYGCAGKAYGAGCAGGGGACAYGAGGAATGTGGGCAGGTGTAGCAGCCTCAGCGTTAAGGGCCAATCAGAGAACGGAATGAACACAACTCATTGATCCACTTCTGGACTAAAAAAGAACAGATGCTACTCAGTTTCACATCATTTTTCCCCTTTAAAAATTAAGGACACATCTCCTGATCTCCCCAAAGAAGCCAAAAACTTCATAAATGGTTTAAACACTATGAAGACCAAATACCTCTCTGGCCCAGGGCCATACATTTACAACCTCCCCAGTCAACCTTAACCATCATGTTAAAACAATGATCTTTGTCAATCACAATGCCTGTTCTTTTGCAGAAATGGGCGTCTCTTAGGGGTCTGTGCCAGCGTGGACAACTGCCGATTGTTTGTTGGGGGAATCCCGAAAACCAAAAAAAGAGAAGAAATCTTATCGGAGATGAAAAAGGTCACCGAGGGAGTCATTGATGTCATCGTCTACCCAAGTGCTGCCGATAAAACCAAAAACCGGGGCTTTGCCTTTGTGGAATATGAAAGTCATCGGGCAGCTGCCATGGCCAGGAGGAAACTGTTACCAGGTTAGCAAGCCCCTCCTCAAACACCAGGCTTCTCCTCTCCACCTGGCGGGCCTCAGGCTGCTGCCCTGCCCTCGGAGCAAAGAAAGCAGTGATTGCTCTTTCTTGTTTTCTTTTACATCCTTATGTTGTATCTTCAACTTTTCATCTTTCTTATTTATTGCATACTTGAYTCAGTTCCCTGAAGTTTGCACAGATGGAGTTTGAAAACATTCATTCTGTGCCTTAGGTCTAATTTGCATGTACTGGAGAAATCTAAAACTTTAAGCTATAGCAATCCTATTAATGAATCTTTAAAGTGAAGAATCTTCTAAAAATTAAATATAACAATCAGTTATTTTTGCATATAGATTATGTTTCAGGCTTAYTAAAAATAGAATATATTATCCATTATAAAGTAGACATAATAAAACTGCAAGTAATCTCAATGACAATTAAGTGATGTACTTTTATTAGGACTCCCTGATGTCTAATAATTTCCGTCTAAATGAGAGAAAAGAAGCCCTTCTTAAAAGGGCACCTTTGTTGGGTATTCCAGTCACAGGGYGGGTCCCCTTCTGGCAAAAACAACAAGTTCCTGTATTTAAGACTCCACCAAGACCCTATTTTAGTCAGATCAACTTAGGGAAAAGTGTTTTAAGATCCTGAGCTCTTCCCACTATTATGTATAATTATAATGCACCAATAAAAAAAATGAACCTCAGCTTACTTGAAAATGGAGAGGGATTGGAGTGGGTAATAATATGGGTACAATTAAAGTATGTTATATGCATGCATGAAAATATCACAAAGAAGGTCCTCATTTTATACAATATACACAATTAAAAATTATCAAAATCGAATTAAATTTTAAAATAAAATGTYCACTAAAAATCATTACACTGTCAAGTATTAAAGACAATTTCAAGAGTGACAGAATGGACACRTATGAATCAACTTTTCTTATGAAAATTATGGGAGAGGATAAAAAACATAACAACAAAAGCATGTAGATTTATACTGCCCTGGTACACATTCTCAAAAACAGAACATACCAATTGATTGTAGGATTAGCCCTTATAGAAATTTTCAAAATTGGAAGAAAGCTTCTGAGCTAAGAAAAGATGCTTTAATAATATTTTCACAAAGACAACTTAAAGTAAACAAAAAATTAACTCCCAAAACTGCTGAATCTGATGGCAAGGTGGATATCTTTAGTGTTGAGRTTTTTCTTCACCACTTCATTCCTCATTACTTAAACATCAAGTCATTGAATCAAAGGTCCATAGCTGTGRGATCCAAGTGTCTTGGTGACCTGGGCTTATAATTTTGCTATCCTCTCAGTTTTTCTCTTTTCAACACTAACCTTCCTATTATTCAAAAGACCCTTGTATTCATCCTGTTATCAGGCCACCAATGTMGTCTAAATACATACATTTCCCACCTTAGATTATTTTTTCAAAGTCTCCCAATTCTGCTCTCCCTTTGACACAACCACACTCTGCCTATTCTATTCTGAATATTACCACTATCCTATCATTCTTTAAACAAGTTCTTGCAAAAAGTGAAAATTTAGTCTCTATGAAGAAGCTGACTGAATGGTGTCAGTAACCTGCCAGTTCGTGAATGTTCCCCAACTATTTGCTGCATATGAGAGAAGGAGTAAATTCTGGCCCTGGTATTCAAGGCCCTTCATTCATGTCACCAGTTCTTTACCATTATATTTTTATTTTCCAAAAAAAAAACTCTCCTTTCTATGAGGACTGATTTTTTCCAACACCACTATGCTCATTTCTGCCTCCTTCAACTCGGCCAACATCCTGATGAACACACTGTCACTTTTCCTGCCCATGTTAATCACTTTCACATTCAGGCAGCCATTCATGGATTCCCTACCCAGAATCCAACAGTAGAGAGGCTGTCTTCTTCTCCCCCTCCACTTCTTATATTAATCACAACAGAAGGTGACCCCCTGAACTACAGCCCTTTGAGATGACCTCAGTTTGGCTTCACTCCACTGGATTTCAGTTGGGCTGCCTTACCAGCAAACCAACAAGATGAGGCCCAATAGGGTATAAGCCAGCCAGAGCAAACGGTTTTACTTCTAGGAAGACCTAAGAACAAAATTGTTACCCAATTCAGAGCCCTCTCCCTGTTACTCCACTGTAGATTCATCAGCAACAAAAGAATTTGGTAATTAGCAACCGTATGGGGAGTCTACTGTTAAAGAAAARAGAGGTATTTAAGAAAAAATTCTGAGCACAGATCACATGAATTTTTTTCTTTCTTAATTGTGCAGTCAAATTTATGATCCACTGATAAATTTACCAGCTAATGACATTGGGCACTCACCTTATGGGATGTAAATAGGAACACTCAACCCACAAATATCTATTGAGCATCCACAACACAGAATGCTCTCTTCTAAATGATATGGGAGATTCTGATAATAAAACAAAACATATAACTGTTGTACTCAAAGAGTAGATATACTGAGGAAATTATACCTATAAGAAAAATAGAAAAAAAAAAGAATTTTAAAGGACTATATATTGTTGAATTATTTAAAAGTGATAAACTGAGTCCTTTACCTGCATCATTTTCTTTTGTCTTCACAATAGTAGTTACCTTTACTATACAGATAATGAAAATTATGCTTAGAAAGTAGGTTTTCTAGCCGAGATCATTGCTCCAATTTTGAACTTACCTGACTTCAAAGCCCGTGTTCTCAAATCACTCTGGCACCCTGCCTTCCACCACAGCCCTTCATGGATGTTTGTTGAAATCATTGCTTCCTGTGTCTGCTCTCATTTCTGTTCCCTTCAGCTTTATGCAGCTCTGTAAGCCCAGGCATGGTTTACATTGGTCTCAGGCTGGGAAGGTGAAAGCAAGAGCAGTGGTACTCAACCTTGGCTGCATGTTAATTAACTGAGGACTGTTTTAAAATCCTGAGACCCAGACCATGTACAGTAACCTCCTGGGACATCCGAGGGTCATCCAGGGACATCYAGGAGTCAGTAATGAGCTGGTATATCTTGAATAGCTGTTCTCAGGAGAAAAACAAGAGCTCTGATTGGTAGCATTTTCCTATTTTCATGCTGTGAACACTCCGATTGTGGCTAATTTCAAGCTACCAGTATGATGTCAACTGACTCAAAAAATTCTAAAATTTTCCTTATCCATTTATCCATCAATAGACACTTAGGTTGATTCCATATCTTGGCTACTGAGAATGATTCTGCAATGAACGTGGGAGTGCATAAGTCTCTTTGACATACTGATTTCATTTCCTTTGGATATCTATCCTGTAGTAGGATTGCAGGATCATATGGATCACATGAAGTTTCTATTTTATTTTTTCCAGGAACTGCCATACTTTTTTCTATAACTGCTGTACCAGTTTACACTCACACCAACATTGTACAAGGATTCTCTTTTTTTTCCTATAGCCTTGCCAACATTATCTTTTGTTTTTGATAAATGCCATTCTGCCCAAAGTGAAGTGATATTTCATTGTTTTAGTTTGCATTTTCCTGATGACTAGTGATATTGAGCATATCATATGACTARTGATATTAAGCCTGTTGCCAATTTGTGTTTCTTCTTTTCAGAATGTCTATTTAAGTYTTCTGTCCATTGTTAATTGGGTCATTTGTTTTCTTGCAATTGAGTTATCCCTTAAATATTTTGGATACTAACCCCTTATCAAATGTATGGTTTACAAATATTTTCCCTTTCTTTGCATTATCTGTTGATCATTTTCTTGCTGGGCAGAGCTTTCTAGTTAGTTCTRTTTGTCTCTTTTTGCTTTGTTGACTGTACTTTTGTGGGTCATGTTCAAAAAAATTATTGTACAGACCAGTGTCAAGAAACTTTTCACCCACTGTTTTCTTCTAGCAGTGTCATAGTTTCAGGTCTTACATTTGAGCCTTTTATTTGTTTTATTTGTTTTATTTGTTTGAGTCAATTCTTTTATATGGTCTGAGATGGGGGTTAACTCCATTGTTCTGCATGTGGATATTCAGGTTTCCCAGTAGCATTTATTGAAGAGACTGCCTTTTCAGTACTCACTGTGAGTTCTTGGAATCTTTGTCAAAGATCACAAGTGCTTTCCAAGGAATAAAACGATGAATCTGGGTTGAAAATACTTGCCTCCTATGCATCATATTTWAATAAATAAATAAATCCTTACTATTACTAAGGACTCCTGACTTTCTTCTCTCCRACTTTGTATTATTCGCAGGATGGAGCTTATTCCCAAAGAATGAATAAAAACAAAGTAGGTAATTTGCCCCAGGCTCCAGAAGCATCCATTCCTTCCAGGGGAGCAGTGAGCACTGCTTTGARGGCTAACTCTGGGGTTGCTGTATTTTGAGGGTGATAAAACAGAATAAACTTTAAAACGCGAAAGAAAGAAAGAAAGAACGAATGAACTAGGTTTATCGTCAAATTCACAACTGAGTCTCACCTTCTTACCATTGTGACAAGGATCTGAAACTCACAGATGTAAAAGAAATGAACCACAAAAACCAAARGAGAGAGGTGGTGAGGGGAAATAGGTTTGGGCAGGTTACCAACCCTAAAGCTCCTTTCYTTTTCTGTAAAACTGGGATTCATCCTCTTCCCCACAAGGCTATGGTAAGAAAGAACTGAGAAAGCACATAGAGAAAAATACTTAATAAATRATTACTATAGAAATACAAAAATATATGTGATCCTGGACAGCAACTACACTTTAAGGAGAGTCAGATTTCTTGTCRTAACTGAGCCGACCCTCAGTGAAATTATGACTTAATCCCACTCTAAGSTAGAGATGTACCTCAGTGGTAGAACAGTTGTCCTGTTGACTTGCGGCTAAATCCCTAGTAACTGTATTTTTTTTTAAGAGCAGTTTTCTAACACAGGTTTTGATTTTTTGCTAGAATAAATATCTTTGTGAATCTGAATTACAGATAGCAATTATACTGAATACTGTAGTTCTTTCCATTTTTGTGAATCCCRAGATGCTGACAGATGGGAATTTATTGGAAAGTTTATTCATATTGAGTAATGAAAGRGCTTTGTCTCTATAGTTAACAAAAACTTTGGTAACTCTGAAAACCATTCACTGAATTATAGCTTTCAAAACTATTGATACTCTGGGTTAGTATTCAGTCAGAATTTTTAGTGTTTTAGAATTATTTCCTTGAATTTTCAGGAACAGATCTTAACAGTTTTATGGTGCTGATGCTTAGCTATCTCACATCACTAAATTGTAAAAGTGAGTTAACACAATATATGTGAATTTTTGCTGTAATGCAAATACTTAAGTTTTAAATTTATAAAATTATACTGTGAAAACTATTTTAAAATAATCTATTAGTTTAATTTTTTAACATAATTCTTATCATACACTTTTTCATTGATTGCTCTTCATCTCTCTTCTTAATTAGGATTTTTTAAAAAATATATTTTTCTCCAGATTCCCAAGTTACCCATGTTCTAAAAGAAAATTGGCAGGAAACACAGTAGCTTGGAGCCTTGACCAAGTTTAAGGAGTAGAGAACAAACTAGGGGTGAGTGGGTCCCTGGGTCCCACCCACCTACCCACCCTTGCCCAAGTACCATTTGTTAGACATCTCAAATGGTGCCTGGGCCAGATAACAACACAGATTCCAATAGCAGCAGACACATATTCTACTGACCTTTTTAATGTTTCAGGAAGCCAAATTCTGTGTCTGAGTTCTCAATCCACTCTTGGCCTTTCTCTCCTTTTTCTTTGTTCCTTTAAACAGTTACCTTTACACTGTAAGATCTATCTTAAGACCCAAACATGTCTACTGTTYCTATTTCAAACCACAACCTATTTCCTTTTATACGCAATCATTATAATAAACCACTAGTCACACAGAACTCACTTCTAACCAACTTTTACATTTTTTGAATATCTTAAAATCAACAATAACCTCTTTAAATGGTCTTGCTCATTCAAGACCTCAAGGGTCAGTTCAATTGAAAATAACATCAGCATGAACTGAGATAATGTTGTCCTTATTTCTAAATAATGTACCATACATTTGATCATTTTCCACAGGAAGAATTCAGTTATGGGGACATCCTATTGCAGTAGACTGGGCAGAGCCGGAAGTAGAAGTTGATGAAGACACCATGTCTTCTGTGAAAATCCTATATGTAAGAAATCTTATGCTGTCCACCTCTGAAGAGATGATTGAAAAGGAATTCAACAATATTAGACCAGGTGGGACGTACATGTAAGGTTACTTTTTCAAAACATACTTTACAAGCTTATGCTTCAGGTGGCTTCTGATAACTTTAAAGAGAATATAGCTTTTATTGAGGTCATTCTCATAATTGAATGTACATTACTCAAGCTAYATTCCCATTTTTGGATTAGAAAGTGATACCTATGGTTCTACAACATTTAACAATATTATAATCATGTATTTATCTGTGTGAGTAATGAATCCACATTTACTTCACTAAACTAGCAATTCCATGAATATAAGTTCTTTTTCTTCTTGTTATGTCCTCAATCCTGAGACACTCAGTCTGTAGGCCAGCAATATAATAAGTGTTCRATAAATATTGACTGTGTKATTGAGTTCATGGCCATAACTCYAGGTTTAATGCAGGGTTTCTCAACTTTAGCACTAAGGGAATTTTGGAACAGATGATTGTTGATAATGGGGATCTGTTCAGAAGATAGTAGGATATATTCAGCAGCAKCCCAGGCTCCTCCTAGTAGACACCAATAGTGACCTCCATAACAACCAAAAGTATTTCCAGACATTGCCTAATATACTCCAGGAGTGTGCAAAACCACCCCCAGTTGAGAACCACTATTGTAATGGAATACACTTTTGACTTCAGGTGCAAAAGTAAGGCAGTGACAATCTTCGGAAACTGGGTGAAGAGGAGGGAAAAGGAATCAAGGAAAGGTTCCAACAAAAAGGAATAACTAGTTGCTAATTATCTTGTCAATATTTTTCAGTGTTGATTATAAACTACAAGATTGACTTTCCATCTCTTTCTTCTCAATATGGAAAAGCTATAACACTTAGACTGGTAAAGCATTTCAAGAAACAGTGTAGAAATGAGCATTTGCATAAACTAATACAGAACATCACATCTACAAAATGTTAGTAGRTATTCCTGATAAAAGGGTCCCCTGGTCAAATAAGTTTGTAAACACCAGTTTCTGCAAAATTAAGCAGATTTCTTCATTATGGGACTTAGAGTCATTAGCCTTCTAACATGCTTGAAAGTCCTCAAGAAGAGATGTGGGATACCTCATTTCCCAAACTTTTGGAGCATGGATCCTCTTTTGTGGCAGGCTACCTTGGCGGTTTAGTGTATCTTGGGACATCTTCTTGGCAATATTGGCCTGTTTTAGCACAGTAATAACATTTTTCCATGACAGAATGTCTAAGTCTCCAGAAAAATACTCTAGGATGTTGATAAGCCTGGGCCACAATGCTACCATGTTAAACTGCCTGAGAATATTCACCGCAAATATTCATATTGTCTGTTTCAGATTCTGGGTGCTATTTTGGGCATAATAAAATAATAAGCTGATGATTCATGCTGAAGTTAATTAGCAAGGATGTCATTTTTTYYTTTTWAARRWYCCCCAAAGATTTGTCTTTCTTCAGCCTCAGGAACTCAGTCTTCCCTGATACTTTAATATTATGGTGTGAGCGCATACTAACACCTACAAATTCATGGCTAATATAGAAAACTGCTAACAACTGGCTGGTCACTATCTGCCAGGCATTACAGTGGGCACTTTTACATCATGTGTAACTTATTCATCACAGTGACCTAATAATGTATGTTAATRTATTAGTTCCTTTATTTTCTAGATAAGAAAACCAGAACCCAGAGTAAAGTGGCTTACCTACCTAGGGTCATACAACCAGTAGGTAGGAGATCCTCAGTTTAACAACTCTAGGATCCCMTACCCCATCCTTATTCAATTCATTCATGCAACTGTCATTCTTTCAGTATTTTGTAACTTTTAAAAATAAACAGTGGGAACTAGGGTTGTGGCTCAGAAGTAGAGCACTCACCTAGCATGTGTAAGGCCCTGGGTTCAATCCTCAGTACCACATAAAAATAAATAAATAAAGGTATTGTGTCCAACTACAACTAAAAAATAAATATAGTAAATAAATAAATAAACAGTGGGTCTCAATATTCCATTTAAGTACCCACAGGTCCATTCTGTTCCCTTTGAAGACTCTGATATTGGTATAAATGTACCAGATTTAGTCACTCCATAAAAAATGTATATTAAGCTATTTTGTTTTTGCTGTTTCAGGAGTGGTATAATTGATTTACTCATGCATAATCTTAATGCAAATTTTATTTCTATATGAAACATTCCTCAAAATAGAATTAGTAGATACCTACTTGATTTCCAACCTTTAGATATCATCATTATAGCATGGGAGGAATCTCAGATGTTCTTCAGAAGCAATTTTATTATTTTTTTTAATTTAAAGAGTATTGGATAAGATATAGAAGATCTAGTTCTAGATYCTGACTATGTGGAAGATAAACATCACCTATCTTGTCAGAATCATAGTTTCCTAACATATAAGTAAAAATAAGTATAGTAAAAGTAATAAAAAATTAAAATCATTACTAAAGTTTCACTTAGCTCTAAAATTCTATTATATAGTCAAAAGAAATAAGATATTTCAGAGGGATAGCATAAAACTTCAAAAAGGTAATCAATGAAATATGTAAGATAACCAATAGTTGAGTTCAACTCAATTCAATGGCATTTTACCATTGCATATAATATCATCATTTATATAAAATGCAAAGTAAGCTGCCATTTCTGCCCTTAAAAGTCTTAGGAAGTAGAAAACACGAATCCACAGATAATTATAACAAGTCACACACTGCAAATGTTGTTTTAAACTTACAAACAAAATCTTTTAAATTTGCAGAACTTTAAACCTGGACACACAAGATTCCTGATAAGATCCTTATGTGCACTCTCAGAAGCGAACTGCATCATTTCAATGCTGTCTCAAGTTTGCTAATCRGGCTACTTTCACTCTCTTCTCAGGTGCGGTGGAGAGAGTAAAAAAAATCCGAGACTATGCCTTTGTGCACTTCAGTAACCGAGAAGATGCAGTTGAGGCTATGAAAGCTTTAAACGGGAAGGTAATGTAGGAGAAAGGATAAAATATGCACAGATTCCTGTTCAATAGAGCAATGAGTCCACTGCACTGCATCTTTCCCCATGTCCAACATGGCTTCTGCAGTCCCCTTAAAAAATGCACAGAAGAAAAATGATAAACATACAGTGGAGGATGGAGATGGAGCTAGTATGTCCAGKTCTGCCTCTAATTATTTTTCTGATTTGAACAAATCACTGGCCCACAATTTTCTTAGAAAGAGGGGATTAGACTTAATTACTTTAAGGTGTCTCCCCCCACCCAATTCCAAATTTCTCTCATTATTGTACTTTCTAGTACAGTATTTTAAGAGCCAAWGGTCCCTTTTTTAAAATGTTAAGATAGCTGTCATTCTACCCTSAGAGTTTGATCTGCCAACTCTGGATGGCTTAGAATCTCCCACCTTGCCAAGAGTAATATCTGAAGGAAAACAAACATCTATATCCTTACTACTGATTTGTCTGTAGAAACCAATTTAGTATTGACATCAGTCCAATAAACACTAAAACACACTATCTACTAATATCATCTGGGACMCAAAGAGAATCAAACCCAAAATACCTATCAAAGAGCCAGAATTCTCCTGGAGGATTAAGAGAAACACACAAACACCTATGCAAAGCACAGTTAGGTAGAGTATCRTAAAAAGAGATAGAAAAGCAGTAAAAAGGTTCAAATGAAGAAGTGAGTCATCAAGAACCAGAAAATCTTCATGGACATGAGAAGATAATACAAAGGAGAAGCCTTAGAAMTTGGATCTAATTTCAAAAGACAAAATATGGAAAGGAGACCCAGTCTTAGAAACCAGAATTGGGCATAGCAAGGCAAAATTGGAGAACAATAAGCAAAGTAGTTAAAACATAATGCACTTGGGGCTGTTTTACATTTGAGTCTTGCATCTGTCAGGATACCAAAAGAAAACCATTGTCAAAGGAATTAATTACAGATATGTGAGTGGGGAGTAGGGAAATTAAAAGAGATAGTACAGGAACCTGAGGCTCACAGTACTCCTGAAGTCAAAGGCACAAGGGACTGGGGCATTAATAGAAATCCTGAAAGAAAAAAGGACTGGGTACAGTTGGTCTTTTCAAAAGGCATAGTGACTTAGGGCCATACCACCTTGAACAGTCTCAGTCTTGTCTGAAAGGTGTAATGTCCTTTGGTTAAAGGATACAACCAGTCCAAGGTAGCCTCTGAGAGAGGGATCCAGGAGAATACATGCCCGCAAATCACTGTTGTTTTTCTCTCTCCCCGCCTGTCAATGTTCCTCAGTGGCCAAGTCCGTGATAATACAGAAGGTCACAAGCCCTAGAGAGGAGCCATAYAGAGAAGTCTCCCAGAGCAGAGGGCAGGGTAGAGATTGGTGGGGGAGTTGATCTGGAGGGAAAAATGGGAGACTTTCCAGCCCAGGTATCTTCAGACAGCCTGAAGCCTTCAAAAATGTTTAAGAGAGCATGAACTGAAAAGCAAAAGGAAATGCATATTTAAATACATACCTACATGCCTATGAAACAAACCATTATTTCAAAGTAATAACATGAATACATCATATATGTTGACATATTCATTCATAGGATATATTCAATGTGTGTGACATGTTTATGTTATTACATTGAAAACAATTTTTAAGTTAGCTTTTCTCTTTTAGGAAATATTTCTGAGTATACATGATGATTGCTGAGAAGCCAAAGCCAATTGTAAATTAAAGGCTAAGTAATTATAATGGAATAATTATGGCAGAAAAGTATTCAAATTATTGTCAATTTTGCAGCTAGATATTTTCACAGCAGTGTTCACATAGTTAATTATATTTAATATTATTAGCAAATATAGATCAAATATTATATTCAAGTATAATGTAGCATGAAAAAAAATAAAAAATAAGTTTTCCCAGGACATATGTAGGCCTATTATTTCAACTCTGGGTATTTACATTTCATTTATTAAAGAAGATGAGACTTTGAAGTTTCTTTGTGAGGTAGAGTAATGATCATATATAATTTGGAGAAATTAACTTAGTAAGAGTTGACTTTTTGAGTGGCAAGAAAGAGATGATGGAATCTAGTTATAAAGCTATTACAATCATCAAAATAAGAGCTTGAACTAAGATGAAAATGGAATATAATAGAGACCTCTATGCAGATCTCYGGGGGAGTTAATTCAAAGTGTAGTAACTGACTAGAGATGATGAAAAAGGAGAAGTCATTATAAGTTTTCCATAATGACAGACTAGGGGGGGTCAGGAAGAAAAGCCTATTTTGGAGAAAAATGTGATGAATTTAGCTTTGAACATGATTACTCACTTATTCTATAAATACTTATGTGTATCTCTGAGGTGATAAAAATTGGGGGGGGGGGCTTGGGGTCTACTGATCAATAAGACATTGTCCCAACTATTCAAATATCTAAACTCAACAACTAAAATACTATACTGTGTATAAGATGCTATTGAAGAGGGCAGAGAAATGCAGAGAAAAATCTATTACAGTAAGAAATATGACTTGCCAGTGACTATTTCATTCAAAACATTTCCTGATATGGAAGTGCTTATAATCAGAGACCTATCTGAGTACCTCATTTTCTTCAAGACAGAGCGAAAGATATAAAGAGTCTTATACCTAAGTCCTTCCCCTTCCTTCAGCATTCCAAGTCTCTTCCAATTACATCTACAGAAATATATGATTGTTGAGTATCGACTGGGTTTTGTCCATTCTGTCTATATTTGACACTGGATCAATCTTAGCAATAAATACAAGCTCTGTATTTAGACTTATTGTTGGGTTCAACTTAGAAGCAAGGAGACACATCCACGTTACTGTGGAGACAAACATATTACTGTTTTACAATTTTTTCAGTAGAACTGAATTGAGCATTTGAAAATTAAGGTAGATGCATGAAACAAGGGAAAGTTGCTGCAGAGGCTAATGAAAATATCAGGATGACTGTGAGGCACAAGCTTTGTCCAGCACACTTCAGTAAGCCAGAAACCACTGAGTCACTCATGAAAGTGAAGGATAAGGATGTACACTCAGCTGCTGTGAACAGAAATTTTTGCAGGAACACTTTCTGTTATTTACATTCTTTGTGTAAAATAGAGACTGGTTGTTTTCTTATTGAAAAGAAGCCATGAGTGTTTTCTGACAACACTTTGTCCTTTAAACAAGAAAATGCATCAATCTATCAAGTATTTGTTGAGAGACATCTTTGTTTCATGGGTAGGCAAACTGTATATAGGAGTAAGTTACACAGAAGACCTACACAGCCATTATCTTCAATATCTGGAGTTGTATGCAGTTTCAGAAACTTGCATCAGAGAAAGGCTACTCCAATAACTCTATACGGCAGGTTTTAAGCATCTCATGACTGGAGAATTCTCAGTACTGCTCCCATCTCCCAATCACAATCCCTGTCAACCCTGTTTATTAGTTCCCAATTGCTCAGTGAATCAAATTTCTTTTTCACAAGGAAGTATCTGTGGGAGAAAATGCATAGCCTCATAGGTTTCTATTCCTTGAGTTGGGCCCCACCTGAGCCTCTGTTCTTCCCCAGTGAAAATGACCTATTGTGTAGTGACTCTAATGAGCAAGACATTTGGCTCCCTGATAGCTGACAAGGCCTAGCTAAAGAACCCACAGTAGCTCGGTGTTAACAAGTGATAAGAACCCTTTGTTGTCTTCCTTCACCTTTATTTTATTATGTCATGTAGTAAAAATTATATTTCACCCGTAATGAACCTAAAATTTCTGGTAACTATATGACTATATAAATATGTGCTTTAAAAAAAAAAAAGAAGAGTTTGGGGGTGAAAAAAAATAAATATGTGCTTTAAAATATATATCTCACATAATAGAGATACTACATAATTTTCCATCTCATAATTTTTCTATCTCTAGATTTTAAATTCATAACCAATATATTAATGAACAGTAGTCAGTATGCCACTGTCAAACCTGTTGGCACCGTATGCAATTTACCAACAAAACCACTCAGAGAAAATCAAGTGGCATACAAATAARAATCTATAAAGACACAAGATGTGAATAATTGAATCAGTCAGTAAATATACAGAAAATACTCTAGCACTCAGAAGGAGATATGTTTTTAGGGCTCAGCCACACTTGATTGTCTTAATATCTYCTTATGTTGCTTTCTCCTTGCTCTCTACAACAGGTGCTGGATGGTTCCCCCATTGAAGTGACCTTAGCCAAACCAGTGGACAAGGACAGTTATGTTAGGTATACCCGAGGCACAGGTGGAAGGGGCACCATGCTTCAAGGAGAGTACACCTACTCTTTGGGCCATGTTTATGATCCCACCACAACCTACCTTGGAGCTCCTGTCTTCTACGCCCCCCAGGCCTATGCAGCAATTCCCAGTCTTCATTTCCCAGCCACAAAAGGTCACCTCAGCAACAGGGCCATTATCCGAGCCCCTTCTGTTAGAGGTAACACCAATCATTTCCTGTATTAGAGTAACTCCAGGATTTCAAATGATTTGTAGTCCAATAGCCTTAGACCAATTGGATGTGACCACTGGAAGAAAAGGACTGGAAAATGCATATTAAAAATCAAATATATCAATAGCTCTCACTTCATAGGAATCTTTTTTTTTTTTTTACATTACAACTGGTAATTAAAAAMCCTTGATCAGAACTTTGTGTAAATGAAACTAGTGTACAAATTTGATCTTTGCACAGACCCATAAAATTTGCATGAACTAAAACCTAGCTCCACCATCTTGTATTAATTACAAAATTTCCAAAGGCAGGACATGGTCTGAGACGGGAGGACTACAAGTTCAAGGCCAGTGTTAGCAGTTTAGCGAGACCCTATCTTAAAATAAAAAATAAAAAGAGCTGGGGGTGGTGGCACATGCCTGTAATCCCAGCAGCTCTGAAGGCTGAGGCAGGAGAATCATGAGTTCAAAACCAGCCTCAGCAAAAGCAAGGGACTAAGCAACCGTCTCTAAATAAAAATACAAAATAGGGCTGGGGATGTGGCTCAGTGGTCAAGTGCCCCTAATTCAATCCCCAGTACCAAATAAATAAATAAAAAGGGCTGAGGATGTTGCTGTTGAATCAGCAAAGTTCCCCTGGGTTCAATCCACAGTAAAACAACAACAACAACAACAACAACAAACTTCTAAGGCAAAGTAGTGTTGTCCAAAATGGAAATTGATTACCTCAAATAACAAAAAACATTTTAAGGCTTTATGTACTTGATGGTGACTGAGTAGCATCATCTTTATCATAAATTACAAATCACCATAAATATAGTCTAATAGATCGATGGGATACTCTCATCTGACCTCTCCTAATGAATATACATTATGCCTTCAAAAAGCCAATCACTAAGGAAATCAACKGATTTCTTTAGTGTATGGGAAACTATTAAACTCCAAGTAGAAAAACAAACTCAGCCCAACTTCCAGACCATAACAATTTCATGTTTGAATCCTATAAGAATTCCCAATATTCAAGCAGTTTTCTGAGCTCAGTCTGTTCAAGTAATATAGAAGATGAGAAAAACATTTTTAATTTCCAAGCAATTGGTTTGTCTCTTCCTATAGGATAGATAAGTGTGGTTGTGCTAGAATGTGGCTAATGCCAGCAGAATCCCAGTCCAGTTTTCCAAATGTGACATCAATCTTAGCAATAACTACAAACTCTGTATTTAGATCTATTCTTGGGTTCAACTTAGAAGCAAGGAGACACATCCATGTTACTGTGGAGACAAACATATTACTGTTTTACAATTTTTCAGTAGAACTGAATTGAGCATTTTAGGACCTCTATCCTTCAACAGGCTTAAAAGTTCTACATTCATAATCATCCCAGCCAAAATTGTAATACAAAAGAAATCATCAGGTCTTCCTACAGAAGAACTTCTATGTTATATGATAATAAATGATGTCATTGAAACATCATACATATATAATCTAAAATATATCATTAAGCAAGCCATATATTAATATAAGTTGTCAACCAGTTGTGATGTAGAAAAAAGACTCTAAGAGAAATATATATGATTTATAAAAAGAAAGGAATCAAYGAATAATATTCATGGATGAAGGGTAATCAATTTAGTTTTTTTTATCTCTTTATGCCACCAAGAGGAAATCAAAGTAACAACATGGCAAAACAAAACTCAAAAGGAATCTATRTGTGAAACTCAATGGAAATTTAAGACTCACATTGACAGAATATCAGAAAGAGAATGATGATCTTAAAAATACGTTTTCTATATATATTGGTTTCCCATTAAGCCATTAGGGGTAGGATAATTGGGGAAGCTAGAATTCATTTCTGATTTTCTGATCAGTGACAGTCTATATGCAAGACTGGTTTCAATACAAGTGGTCATATTATGCTGAAGTGTTCAATACACACATTTCCAAACTTTAGTCTTCAGARAAACATTAAGAAAAGGTTAACTGAAGGTGGAAATTGCAAAGTTTCTCTTTATACCAAAGTTGTTAAATTGCTCATGTGCTTATCAGAAGCCCTGATGGTATTACTTTCAGGTAGTTAATAAAACAGAGATGCCTACAGTGAGCCTTAATTGAGGTTGAGTTTCATCACATTAGACTCCTAGAGTTTTCTACCTRTCTTTGAGGTTGTAATCAATGTGAGTTGGGCTAACTTTTCCATTACAGTAAGATTCAGGGTGATTTTCTGGTGGTTTGATTCAGTTTAATGCCTTCTTACATTCCTAGAAATTTACATGAATGTACCTGTAGGGGCTGCGGGAGTGAGAGGACTGGGCGGCCGTGGCTATTTGGCATACACAGGCCTGGGCCGTGGATACCAAGTCAAAGGAGACAAGAGAGAAGACAAACTCTATGATATTTTACCTGGGATGGAGCTCACCCCCATGAATCCTGTAACTTTAAAACCCCAAGGAATTAAACTTGCTCCCCAGGTAGGTAAATTAATTGCAGATATAGCTTCTTTAAGTTGRGCCAATGATCATCATACACCTATCATCAAATGATTGGGTTTGATCCTTACTTGGGCTATGSTTATGTTTTACTAGATAAAGTGGCTAGCCAACATCATGTAATTTGAGGGGATATGGGGCATTGAGTGTCATTTTCCATTATAGGCCCTTTCATTATTTTTTAATCTTAAATCATCTTCCTCTGAAATGCAAAGAATCTAAGAGCTATTAAGAATTGTCAACCAWTATATTAAATTGAAATAAAACAAGACAAGSATCCTGGCTTAGARTAAATGTCTRTGTGTGTGAACCAGTTCAGYTGGCAAATGAAGAGTACTAAAGGCAGGGAACTCTAAATAGACCAATCAGGACATCTTTTCTTAGAAATGCTGTGTTTAAGAGAAAGCTATTCCATGATAGCTAGGTGAATCTTTAACTATAACATGCCATCAGTCATATCAAATTGAGTCTTCTACAATGATCATATTTGTGCAGTGGCATTATGGTGAAGTTTTTTTGCAATCATCTAACAGTTCTAACTTTCCATGTTTCTGTAGGAGGCTGTGGTCTTTCTTAAATGAAAATTGAAAGTTATAAAGTTTTTTTCAGTGTGAAAAATGAATTCCAGAGTTGAAAATAAGACAAAATAGAATCTATGCTAACCCTAGACTGTTCCCTGTGGGTGTGCATTATATGCTGATCTCTCTACGCTGTACTTTGGCTGAATAACCACAGCTTAAGTTCATCTAAAGTTTCTGCTAACTCTATTTAGGCAATTTGGGTTTTTTGGGGGGAGGGAGGCATATCAGGAATTGAACTCAGGGGCATTTGATCACTGAGCCATATCACCAGCCCCATTTTGTATTTTATTTAGAGACAGGGTCTCACTGAGTTGCTTAGCACCTCGCTTTTGCTGAACCTGGCTTTGAACTCACRATCCTCCTGCCTCAGCCTCCCCAGCTGTTGGGATTACATGCATGCACCCTGAACCCAGCAGGCAATTTGTTTTTAAAAGAATGCCTATCAGAGTGACAATCAGCTATTTTTTTTAATTGGGCTTCTCTTATGAACAGTGTATTGTTTTAAGTGCTAGAGAGAAAAAATTATTATAACCATCAAATTTCATATAGCAATCAAGTGGGATGATACCAACACATAATTATAGAGAAATTGGGTAGGTGACATGATAAAGATTTCTGAGAAAATACCTCTCTTGAGTCAAAACCCAATTATTAAAAACTCCAAGTTCTGGTATTCATGGAAATCATTTAAAAACATCTTAAAAGGCAATAATAATAAATTCTGTATAGTATTTCTGAGAGCTGCTGTAGCATGAGCAAAGATCTCTGCTTTTTACATTAAAACTCAGGTTAGAAGTTGGCCATGCTTTATATTAATCTGTGAATAACTGTGTGTATCACCTAAAGAAAGGTCTTTAATTAATTTATCTCTGAATGTTAGCAGCTATGGTTGAGAAGTTGAAGACCATGTGACCCCTAACATTCATACCCTGTAGCAGCATTTAGAACCCCTAAGCAGAAGAGCAGAGGCTCCTGTCCTGCATGGTCAGTAGTTAGAGTGGTCACTCTGACTGCATGTTGCTCACCTGCATAAACAGGCAGACTGACTATCCTCCAGCAAGAGCTAATTTATTATTGCATGGGAACCTTGGAGAATGCTTTGCAGATGACAAGAACTGCTACAAGAATGTTTTGAAAAAGAGTTAACAGAGAAAATAAGAGCAATCTACAAATTAATAAGCTGGAAAATGTCATGCCACACAGCTAGATTAGTGTTAGAACAAATGAGATAAGAAGTGCCAAGAGACACATCCTGGGGCACCGTTCTGTCTCAGAGTTATTTTCTCAGACTGGTGCCTGTTTTACACAGTATACTGATTCTGCTGATCAGAACCTCTCTGGAATGACTTCTGGATGAAGAAAGTAAAAAGATTCAGTTTGGTGTAATTACACAAGAAAAAATGAAAACATGCAAAGGATGAAAAACAAAACAAAACARAAAAACAGGTCATCATAAAGATATCCAAAAGCAAAGTGTTGCCAAACATTGCAACTATCAACACTAATCTATCAATGCTCATTAATAAGTACCAACCCATAAAACTTTTCGCCAACTTTTTTTTTAAAATATGCCTTATGACAAAAGACATTAAATAAGAATATATTCTYCATTTATCTTCTCTAAACCACTATAAACAGAGGACTTGAGGGTAATAATAAGCAAATGTATCCACACATTGGTGCAAAGCAGGGKTTTTTTTAAGATAGATGAAATAAATATATCAAACAAGTCATGAAATTAAGCTCTTAGTAAAAAGTTACAGCTAATGGACTAAACCAAAAGCTTATTAGAGTAAATGGTGCGAAAATTATTCTATGAACTAATAGATATAACATTTTAAATGGAGTTCAAATTGAGTTCAACTTAAATTTTATGAGTCATTAAATCATGCAGCATTTTCTATCTTCTCATATTGGTTTAAACTCTGGAGATCAGAGTTTAAAACCTGGAAACTAGAAAAATAATGCAAATGTGACATTTGAGGGAGAAATCATCTTTTTTTTAACTCTTACAGATATTAGAAGAAATTTGTCAGAAAAATAACTGGGGCCAGCCAGTGTACCAGCTGCATTCTGCCATTGGACAAGACCAAAGACAATTATTTTTATTCAAAGTAACTATTCCTGCTCTGGCCAGTCAGAATCCTGCAATGTATGTAAATTTCTCCAAATTGTTAGAATAAGATCCACTTGTAAATTTAATATATTTATTTAATCATTATCTAAACAGTATAAATTCTCAAGTCTATTACCTACTAATTTGTCATTAAATGCAAACATTGAGATGTATAGTTGGGATGTAGGTGCCAACTATGAGGCCTGCATCAAAAAGCCCCAAATTTCCTATAGACAACAAAAACTGTRTAATATAATCAACCAATGGAGACCAGTAGGTCATGAGAAAGAAATGAAAGACTATAGCCAGTTCTTTTATCTGTGTTTAGTTTGAACCAYATGAAATTGCCATTTTTATGTATAATGTTTGCTCCATCATTTAACTTTTTATTTTTATTTTGTTTATTTATTCATTTGTTTGTTTATTGGTGCTGGGGATCTGACCCAGGAGTACTTTACACCAAGCTAGAGCTATATCTCCAACCCTTTTTAATTTTTCATTTTGAGACAGAGTCTCATTAGTTGCTTAGGGTCTCTGTAACTTGCTTCTGTTTCAACCTCCTGTTTCAAAGTCACTGGGACTACAGGCATGTGCCACTACACCCAGTTTCATCATTTAAAAGTTTTGGACCAAAGATATGACCTCCCTGTTAGTGGATACCACCTTCTGGATTTTATCTCAAGTTTGCATTTATGGATATTTTAGGAACCACTGTGTTTCACATGTGTTGTAGTAAATTATAAAGTATGCCCCAAGAATGTCACGGATCACTGGCAATTGGGTCAATTCATGTATATCCCTACATGCACATATATTTAGAAGATTTTAATAGCAAAGATTATAAAAAAATAACCATATAAAATCCATCATCTAATCATCTTAAAGTTCTAATGGTGACAGCAGATAGCCAATCAGAAAAATAATAATAATAATAATAATAATAATAATAATAACTAAGAGTACCTTAGGTTTTCACCTGACCCCAGTACACAAGGTTAAAAATTCCTACTCTGGCTGTGCTTTCCAGCCACCCTTTCACACCTCCGAAGCTAAGTGCCTATGTGGATGAAGCGAAGACATATGCAGCAGAGTACACCCTGCAGACCCTGGGCATCCCCACCGATGGAGGTGACGTGGGGACAACGCCTGCTGCTGCTGCTTCTGCTGCTGTTTTCCCAGGTAAGGAAAAATCATGCCAGAGAGTGTTTGGGAAACCCTTCTTGCTATCAAGTGCTCATAGAATTGTTTGTGAACTCCACCTCCATAGAGCCTACTGGCACCATCTGTGAAACAAAAAGGGTTTGCCATCTGAGTGAACCATTCAAGCATGAGGCAAGGAAATTGAGCAAGGCAGCAGAGTTGGTTCTGGACTCAGCTCAAATTAAAGCAGCTGCAAAATCTTGAATGAGTCAATCTCTCTGAGTCTGGGATGACATTTTGTTTTCCCTTTTAGTAAGAGACTTTGGGACAATCTATTAATAGGAGGTGTTACTGAATGAGACACCCTAATGCTCACAAGCTTTACAATATGACACCACTGGTTTAGGTTAAATCATGATGTCCATTTTACAGATAAAAGAACCCAGGTACTAGATGAAGTAATTGGGCCAATGTCAATTAGATTTTTAGCAATACTTGAGCTCCCTCTCCAATTTTAGTCTTCTAATTTTATTACTTTACTTTCTGGAAAAAGATGCATGTATCACATTTTTAAAAATCATTTTTAGTAAAAAATTAAATGTGTGTGCATGAAAGACAAAGATTCTTCAATGTRTGAACCATGAGGCCTCAATTTATCATTCTCTAATTTTGGTCCAGGGCATAATGCTGATTGCTTAACATGAATTCTAACAACATGTCCTCAGGAATCATATTTAAAGGACTTGCCACTTTATTATATACTCACGACAAAGGGTAATCATTAAAAATGAAACCTCTAGAGATCAGAAAGGACCAAGCAAGAAATTTTTTCATAGCAGCTAGTTTAACCCTTCTACTTTTTAGTAAAAATTTCTATTTCTCTTGAAGAAATTATTGTTCTGTCCTGTCATTGTTTCAGCATGTCCCCCTCCATATGCTCAAATTTGAGAGTTTTTGCTAGAGCTAGAATTATACCATTGATTCACTCACATTATAGGTCACGTGTAGGTGGGAGAATTTTATATTCCTCATATCCAGAACACCTGGGGTTCTCTCTTCCTCTCTTTTATTCCTCAAAGACTGTGAATGTCTTCCATTCTGTTACATGTGGCTAAAGCTATTCATGTTTTACACACAAATGTGACCTTGATTCCAGCTTTGTTTCTTTGTAAGAACATGGAGAGGCTCTGTGGTGAGACCCTGTAAGGTTACCAAGGCAACAGCTGCCACTGCAGAGAGCAAGGTCCTCCCTGGGCAGCACTGTCATCAGTCTCTGTGCTGACAGAGTGTTTACCTTTCCTTCTACTCAGGGTTTATACTAAGGCTTGCTTCTCAGGTCTTGGAGAATCGAGCAGAAAGCTGTACCCATAGACAACCAATATACTATACAGAAAGCTGTACCCATAGACAAGCAATATACTATAAATAAATAAGCCATGTCAAATGGGAATTTTAAAGTTTTCTCAAAGGATTTGCTTTCACCCAAGATTTTTTTTTAAATTTTATCCTCCCTTTTATTTGTTCCAGCAAGAAGTTAAAAATATTTAGGGCATGAGAGTTGTTTTAGGAATGAATACCTAAGAATTTGGTAGCCTGTTATAACTTTACTATGGAGTCAGGCAAAGAATAATAGATTCCAAGGACAGAATCTAAAACACTAATGCCCTTGCAGTTAAGAAATTAGCCAATTGGAAATTAGAAAAAAGAAAATCCAACATTTCTAAAGGAAAAATCAGTGCTAAACAAACACACTCATACATTTATGTGCCTTGTAACTTTAGAAGCACCATTTTGCAAAATAATGAAAGTGATATTGATATTTTTCTCATATCTTTGGGAAATATACCAAACTTTACATGTGCATTAGCCRGCATTACTAACCAAAGTGTACAACCGAGGTATGAATTTGATCTTTAAAAACATAGTCCAGCTAGCTTCCTGCCACCACTTCCTGAGAAGCCACTAGGAAAAATCAATGTGTCTGGGCTAGGGTAGACTTCCACTGCACATAAACCAACAGGACTTTTAAAATTCTAAACCAGATCCCAACTTATTCCTTAAGTTCCTCTCTCCCTTTTTACAATTTGGGGGTCATCTCTGAAACACCCAGGCTTTGCTCTAAAACACTGACAAAGAAATATAGCTCTGGACAGTGGCTCCTGGGTTTTCTTCTTCAAAAACAAATGTTCATCAGCCAGACATAATATAAACTGAGAGCATGAATGCTTTCTTTATTACTCAAACTCTTTGGTTCCCTGAGAGTGAGGACCAGTATCAAGGCCTCTGAATACATTAAGGACAGGCTTGGTGGATGGGTCCCAAGATAGGGYTTCTGCTGTTTATGGTTAGGTCCAAACGTGGACAGGGTAGACATCTGCTTTTATGGTATTAAGAAGACACACACTAAAACTTTACAGTATTTCCACTACTGATCTAGCCAGTGCCTACACATCCTTCTTGGGAGAAGGCAATGGTTTTTCATGTTTAATTTGGCAGGTGTAGGGGTGCAGCAGTACCGCCACCATGCCCTGCTGACCCCTCAATGGCCTCTCTTTCTTTAAAATTTCCGAGACACTCTGGAAAAGCTCCACAATGCAGACTTTCATTAACCCAGCATCCTCCTACATTTCTGCTTCCTGTATCTTCTCTCCAGTGTTTCTAATTCTCCAGGTATGAAGTGCTTCTGACCCAGGTGACACAGGCAGTTCTTGCTTTGATGATCACTGTTTTAGGGCTTTCCAAATGCCATTTAAAAATCAGTATGCCCACCTACTGTGTCCCATGAGAGCACCTTTTAAAACATATATACTTACTTTTAACTTTTTTCTTCTTAAATTTAACTTAAAGCCATATGTTAAAATTTTTCAAATTCCTAAAGGAGGACCACATGCCCAAAGAGAGCGAATCTGAATGCCTTTCATGAAGTTTTCTCTGCCTCCTTCTCTAGGATACGCTGTCCCCAGCGCAACAGCACCTGTGTCTGCAGCCCAGCTCAAGCAAGCAGTGACCCTTGGACAAGACCTAGCAGCATACACAACCTATGAGGTCTACCCCACTTTTGCAGTGACTGCCCGAGGGGATGGATACGGAACCTTCTGAAGATACCTTTCTTTTAACTTAAGAATAAGAAACACAAACCTCTATATAGGAGAAATAAAATTCTCACTCAGTACCCTAATGATCATAAGCCATGCCTTTCCTAAAGTAGTTCCTTTCCTAAGACAGTATAACTGGCCCTCGTTTATAGAATCATGAAATGTGAATGCCATTCCTAAATGAAATCAAATGTCCAGGAGCCTTTTGTTTAACAGGAAGCTGCAGAGCCATTGACCCCAAATTTATTCTTCCAAGGTTCCTGAGTGTCCTGGAAGTATGTTTACAAATACTGACAGAGTGGGAGAGATCTCTCAGTAGGCAGGTGTGAGGGCTGAGCAAACCTGAGTTGTCAGCAACAACAAGGGGAAGCTGATTAACTTCCAGGTTCTCAATCCCAGGCTCACAGCTGCTTTTGTGATACAAAGAGTCACAAAGAGGCAAAAGGAAGGTAGGAGGTTACTTTGCAAAACACCTTCACCATTGCYCATATCCCAGATCTGAAACCAAGACACTTGTCCAAGATTTTATGGATTCAGCATCACTTCAGTCTGAAAATTCCACCCAATCAAATTTTGTCATAAATCAGAATACTTTTGGCCCCTTCAGTCTCTGGGGACATCCTAGAAACTGATATAACATGTTGCACATATGGTTGAAACAATTCCAGGTTCCTTATTTATTCAACTCTTTAGCCTAAACTATTTTTCTCTAGAACTCCTGCCCTGCCCAGGATGCCATAGTACAAAAACCATACCAATATGAAGTTACTTTCTCATTTTAAAAACTTTTCCTTATCCATACAGAAATGTTTTCATCTTGGATGCARGGTGTTCATCTCTAATGCAGTAAAAACACTTTACAGATCTACAAGATACCACCTACGATATTTTTTCCTACTCAGCAAAATAGGCTGCAAGGTCATGTCAAAGATAAAAGTGAAGTTTTTTTTGGTCTGTTGTTTTGTTTTGGTGGTCACTGTCATTTTGTGTTGCTTTGCTCTGCAGTACTGGGGATCAAACGCAGGGCCTCCTGCATGCCAGGTAGGCACTCCACACTAACCTGCACCACCAGTCCTGTTTTCAACTCTTTGATTTTTTTTTTTTTTTTGCAGCACCCAGACCACCATCTAGTATTCAGAGACAGTTATATAAACTGGGAGAGCCTTGAATTATCTAACTCACAGAATCCTTTCCTTTTATTTTCAATTAAGAGAGGCAGTTTTATCAGACCTGAATCCTCTTGTSTTGAAACCATTCCAAGATAATTTTATATCCACCACTACTGAATAGACACTGCTTCTTCAGAAGAAACACTCAGCAAGAGTGTTATTTGCTCAAATTCCCTAGAGTCTCAGGACTCTTCTCCAGGAATATCTTATGGTAGGGAGGTGATGCCAACCAAGAATGAGGGTACARAAGAGGCACTTATTTCCTGACATACTTGTAAATGATCACTTTATTCAAAACATAAGTAATAAAAGTCCAGCACCAAATATCTATTACTATTATGCTAGTCTTATCAGAGGTTTAAGACATAGCATGAGGATATTCATTTAAAAAAATCTTTTGGCCCTTGCAAAATTATAGGGCACTCCAAGGAAAACAGAAACACGAAGGTGTCAACAATTTTGTGAGCTCCTTAGGAATTCTGTGGTCCAAAAATCAGGCCAGATTCCACTTGAAGTCAGGTAAATTTCAATCACCATTAAAAGTACTTGTAACATTTCAATTTATGAATTCCAATCAGACATCAAAGTCTTCAAAACAACAGCTGAAATTCTGAAAGGTTTTTGTGCTTTCTGTTTCACATCTAGCTTCTCATATTCCCAAGGATAATATTTTCTAAACTTGGCTGCAACTGGAAACACCTGGAGAACTTTTAAATATGCTAATGCCAAGATCACACCTCATACCAATTACATCAAAAAGTCTTAGAGTGGAGGCCTGGCATCTGTATTTTTTAAGAATTCCACAGTGATTTCAGTGTGCAGCTGAGTTTGGGAACCGCTATATTCTTTGAATTTCCACCCCATCTCTCAATTTTTTTTTAAAAAAAATCACTTTTATTAAATAGAAAAATGCAGGAAAAACTGAGTTAAAACAAATAGCCAAAGCATATTTTTACATATGTTCACCTTGTAAACAGTATGAATTTAAATACAATTCATTTGACTTCAAACTAAGTCTTGAGTCAAACTCTAAAAATGAGAAAGTAAAAATATTCCTCCTAAAGCAATTCTTATATTCAAATTTATATTGCCCCAAAGATCTGCTTTTATTCTCAAAGACAACATTTACAATTACAAGTGTTCTTTGGGGCAAGGCAAATTTCCACTCAGCCTAAAGAAGCATTCCAAATTCCAAGAGCAAAAGTTTTGATTTTCCTTAGAATCTTTGAAAATAAATAGCAAAGGGCATTCTGCAAAGTTCAGTCAATGTAAAATAGAAAAACTAATTCAGAGAAATTTTAAATGTATTCCAAATGAAAAGATGATTAGTTACTACAGGAATCTCCTTATGAGAAAAGTCATTATTCTGAATGAGGTTGTCAATGATGTTTTAAAAGATGAARAGTAAAGATATAAACATTAAAAAAATACTAAAGTGTCAAGAAAATTACCTGTGGAACACCATATCATTACGTTTGAGGAGAAACACAGGTATACATARCATTTGCCTTCTTAGGACTGATTTTTAGACAAGTGAATAGATATGTTTTTGAGACTTTGAATCCCCTTATAATACATTCATGTGTCTATGCTTGTTTTTATTTTCCCCAAGTTAAGAAATATAGAGCAAATTCTGCTATGATGAGTTTGAAACTCTGAGGAGCAAAATTAGTTTTTTTCTAAAAAAACAAGTATAGAACTGAAATTTAATTTTGCATAATGTTCATWTTTTTAGATTTAAGAAATTAGCACCTATTTAACACCTCCATACCTTACCCATCATTATTCATTTTTCTACTCTTCCTTGACTGCTTTCTAATTCTCCATAGAAAAACATAAAATTAGTTAGCAAATCAAGTGATAATAATAAAATACCTAAACCAACAATTTAGATACCTAGTATTGAGCTTCTAAATTTTGTCAATGAATATTTTATTGATGGTTGAAATCAGTCYAGTGTTACTTAGGAGGAAATGGAACAGCACTGAGATTGGATGTTTGTTTCCTTACCTATAAAAATGTTGCCTCTTCTCAAATTGGTATATTTCTCTCCCTCCCCCACTTAATATATCAAGAAAATCACCTTTGACTGCAATAAAACATAATTCTCCTAGATAACTAGGGTACCCTTCAACCCCAGTATCATGCCGAACTACACTGTGTTTGGGTATCAACACCCAAAATGCTGCTAGAAAACTACCTCATATTATGAAAACCTTGACTTCAAAAAATATCTAACAAAAGAGGACCTATTTCCAAACCACAGTTCCTCAACTTTTTAAAGCGGGGTGGAAGTTAAACTATAGCTATGTGTTGTTAATAGCCATGGATTGATCATAGATATGCAGAAGATTAATTTTTGTTTGGTTTGGTTTTTTAAAAGTTTCTTCAAGTCTTCTATAAGACTTCTATAAGATCACTAAAATGCTAGATCAATCTAATTTTTAATTTATATTAATTTTCAGTATACTATTTAGTATATTTTCATATGTTTCAGAGAATTTTCAATAAATGTATTTTCAGTAAGGGGAGTCCTAGTCTCCCCTTACTCCGCTGGGACACAAAACCTGAATTCCACCTTGATTTGGCAGAGCTGGGCCAGATTGTCAGGGGACAAGATGAAAGATGGCCCTTGGGAATGCTTGYCCAACCTGTCAAGATCCACAGGGTTTCAGAACATTTGCCAGTTCCTTTTTTCCTTAAACCAAGTTACTTACATCCCAAACCAGAGAGAACTTCCTATGTAAATCTATACCTTAAAAATCTTTTTGCCTTTCCCCCCTTTTTCCATTTCACAAATTTGTTTAGACACTAATTTCCTTGCAGTAACTTCACTAATAYGGCTGCTTAACAAATATTTTTCACMAAAAAAAAAAAAAAACTTTACATAATCCCACACACAGTTTCGATTATTTTTAATCTAAAATAACACTGACAGGTTAGTTTYCTCTTTTATAGAATTTTTACTCTTCCTTTATTCTCATTACTAAAATTGGGAATTATTAATAAAGAATAGCTAAATTGCTATCAACCCACCAATTTACTCTTCATAGGTTGTATGATCGGTCTGTGCTTACTGTGTACCTACTCTTATCCCAGAAACTGTGAAAACCAATACATACATTTCTCATTTCTCTTCTCAGTGGGGCACACAGTCCAGTGGTCCATTCTGCATTTTTTCAAAGCTGAATACAAATACATCAGCTGGTAGATTTTACCACTTGGTCAGAATCCCAAAAATAAATCAGCTCTATTCTAAAACTSAAGTTTCCACTATTATCGCCAAACACTGAGTTAGTTGGTAGAGTCTTTTTGAAAGATGAATTTAATGCTTGACCTATTATTGTTTAAGCAAAATAAATTTTAAAATATTTTCTGTGAAAAAAATATAAAGAATTATGCCAAAGCAGAAGAAGATTAGAGATTCAGAAGACACTTTAAAACTTGAAATTAAAAAATTCATATATTGACTTAAGTAAATGAGAAACATGGTACTCATTTATTAACATAACACTTGGGTCATTAACTATTTCTGTTTTCTAGATGTGCTTGTGTTTACGAAATTCAAAACTCTATTTAACAAACCATAGCCCGACCTATATTTTTGTCARTGAATGATTTGCAATGAATATACAAACTTTTTTTCTTTTTACAAATGTATAATACTACTTTTAAATTTGGCATTTTCCACTATAATTCCTAGCACATCTTTGGGCTCCCAGACTGCAAATGTATCTATTTAAATCAATCATCACTTTCACTGATATAAATAGTTCATGTGATCATTGGCATTTTTGTTTTTCTAATCCTTCATGGAACTGTTGTTTCCTCATTTTTCTGACTGCACTATAGCCAAATATTGTTATCCCTTATCTCTTGATGAAAAGCAAGCTCTCACTGAAATGCATTTCTAATTTCC